CCCCCTTTTGTGGCTGCGGCATCCCTTTGCTCTTTTCCCTCCCTCCTTCGTGTCCCTCCTGCAGACAAGGCAACTGCCGCTGCCAACACAGCCACTCCCCAACAAGCCAACACACACGCGCTTTCCCCGAGCCATGCGCCGGCCACGCTGCCCCGCGCCGCTTCTCCCGCTGGCGGCGCTCCTGCTACTGCTGGCGATGCACTGCGCTGGCGGGTGCCTCGCCGCCGCCCCCGCCCTCAACCACCGCTGCAACTTCGACGAGGCGATGCGGAAGAGCGGCCCGCTGCCGACGGCGGTGGTGCGTGAGGTGCCGCGCAGGGGAGAGGGCGCGGCGCAGGCGTACACCGCCGCTGCCGCCACCGCAGGAGGAGGAAAGAGCAACGAGGGGTGGGCGCCGATCCGCATCGTGGTGTCCACGGAGGACCTGACTGACTCGAGGAAGCACTGCAATGCAACTGGAGTGGACCGCACGGACTTCAGCCGCGGTCTGCTGCGTTGCCAGGAGCACCACGTATTGACCGCGGAGAAGAAGAAGCTGTACGAAAGCTTTCTTCTCCCCCGCGCCGTCAAGCTGCACACCGACCGACTCCTTGTCAAACCCCTGGCCGGCGCCTTGGTTGTGCCAAGCAAACTTCCTTTTCCGTGCTATATGTTTGGGGTTCCCGCCGACCACAAGTCGACGGGTGTGCGTAACGCCGACATGGTCCTCTACGCTGCTGCTGGGCCGATGAATGATGGAGCAGCCGCCGTGGGGATGATGTGCGCTGTGCTGGAGGATGGTCGTCCGTCAGTTGGTGTCGTGAACTACAATCCGGCCCAAATGGTCGGAACGGAGCTCGCCGTCCGCGTCCTCGCGCACGAGATTGCGCACGCCCTGGGGTTCGGTTTCGACAACCTGAAAAACAGGAGCCTCGTGTCCTACAAGCATGGGCTGCGCGGGAAGTCGTCGGTGATGATGGTGGCCGGAAGCAACGTCAAGGCGAAGGCGAGAGCCCACTTTAACTGCGATTCGCTCGAGGGCATGGAGCTGGAGGACAATGCCGTGTGGAGCGCGGGGTCCCACTGGAAGCGGCGCAGCGCCATGGAGGAACTGATGGCCCCCACCGTCAGCGACGGCCGCTACACGGCGCTGACGATGGCGGCGTTTGCGGATATGGGCTACTACGGCGTAAATTGGGGCATGGCGGAGCCAATGGCGTGGGGCAACGGCACCGGCTGCGGCTTCCTGGAGAAGAAGTGCACGGAGCTCGACAACTCCAGCACCGCCTACCCCCACATGCTATGCAGCCCCTCCGACAACACGACACTTCGCTGCACATCCGAGCGCCACCACGTCGGGAGGTGCACCGGATTGAATTTTGACGGCAACGGGGACAGGTGCCCCTACGTTTCGCTGTTTTTCGTCGGGCCTGCGGACGGGGGCTCAGGTCGCAGCAGGTGTTCGGACGCGAGCGTGACGTCTCTCCCCGGCTCGCTGACCGGCCAGGGCTCGTGGTGCCTCGATGCGGAATCGCTGCGGGTGAAGCAGCGGCCGGAGGGCAGCGAGTCGGAGGGCGTCAGCGGCGTGTGTGCGCAGGTGCGGTGCGGGGAGGGCACGGTGCAGGTGAAGCACCTCGGCAACGATGCGTGGCACGCGTGCCCCGAGGGCGGCGAAATCGAGGTGGCGGCGTCGGAGCACTTTGAGGGCGGCGGCAGGATCAAGTGCCCGAAGTTCGCCGAGGTGTGCACCGTCGCCGCGGACGGCAGCGGCTTTCCCTTCGACGGGGAGGCGGAGGGGCTGCAGCGCGCGAACGCGGGCCCCCCGCACACCTTCTCAGGCGGCGTCCTCCCGTGGGCACGGAACGCCTACGCCTACATCACGGGCGGCGACGGCAGTGC